TGTGGGCAGTGCCACTGCCTCAGGAGAGCAAGTGGGGGCAGGGAGGACTAAGACCTCAAAAAGGTGGGAACAGAGCCCTGTTTGCCCTGTAAACTTGCTGGGCCTGAGCCCTGGTCCCCCTGCTTTGCCTCAGTCTACCTTCTTGCTCAAGGCTTTGTGGTGTTTTGTTGATGCCACAGGGAGGGAAGTCAGGCAAAGCAGGAAAAGCCTAGAGACCCTGCGCCCAGCCCCACATAGCCTGCTATACTTTCTGTAGCTTGGAGAGGTCTTGCCTTTCTTGCCCTCTGGTCATTTGCCACCCCCATCCCACTCTGAGCTCTAAGTAGTCCTGGCAATCTAGGGGGAGGATTGTAGTCAGGTGGTCAGGTCTGCCCACTGCTTCTCTGTGTGTGTCTGTGCTGGGGGTGGAGAGATTGTAGTCAGGTGGTCAGGTCTGTCCACTGCTTCTCTGTGTGTCTGTGCTGGGGTCCTGGCCAGTGTTAGGTTCCAGTGTGGGGCAGAGTGGCCCATGGTGGGCTGTGGAGTGAGCAGAGGGTGGACTCCCATTTGTTGGTTGGGATGGTCTTCTGTCCACTTGTCCCTTGTTCCATTGGGGCCCCAGAAACCCAATCAAATGGGCAAGGGTTTTAGTTTTGGGCAGGCACTGAAGGGTGACAGAGAGGATGAGTTCACCCAGGAGCTGGTCCTAGGGGCCTAGAGGGCCCCCTTGTGGGAGAGAACTCTCTCCCCATGCTCTCCTGAACTCCTGCCCCAGGCTGGAGGGCATCCTGTCTTCAAGTTCAGGGAGAGGCCCTGTGAGGCAGGCCCTGGACTCTGTGCTGCTGACAGCCAAACAGTGCCCAGAGGACTCCTCAGGCCTGCAGCTGAGTCTGCTAAGACCCCAGCCAGGGATTTCCCTGTCTCCTGTCATTGGAACACAGGCCACTCTTACTCGGAAGGAGACCTTACCAACAGGCTGTCCCACTATTCCCGCCCTTGAACAGGCTTGATTCTGGCCATGGCTGGTGTGTAGCCAGGCAGCTTGAGAATGCAAAACCCTGAAGGGGTTTGGTCCTGGGGAGAAAGAGGAAGATAGCAGCCTTGCTTTTGGTTATGAACCAAAGTGATGGCTGTTCCTGTGGTCCTGAAGAGGACAGAAGCTCCCACACTGTCACAGGGGACCAGCTGCAGGGGGAGGTCAGCAAGTCCACTGCCCTCACTTCTCCCTCAGCTGGGGCTGGGTGGGACCAGAGCCCACAGCTGGCCTTTCCTCTCTCAGTCTTCTGGGTTCTGCCTGGCCCTCTTTGAGCTTCCTAAGCATTTCCAGGTAAGGGTCCAGTCTTGGAGCTGCCACATGGCAGCTGCCTCCTCAGTTACTTCCAAGGGAGCCCTCTTGACTGGAGCCCGAGGACAGATGAGATCTTGTGGATGTGCCAGTCAGGCTCCCAGAAGTGCTAGAAAGAGTGAGACCATGGCGTGCCTGTGGACCCTGCTCAGTTGTTGGCCCTGAAGACTAGCCATTCTGGGCTGAGGAAGGCCTTAGCACTGTCCTCCCCATGCCCCCTGCTTGGATCCCTGGCTTCCTTCTGGCGCCTGTCCAGGGGCACTAGGGCAGCCCCCCGCCCACCCCACAGGCCTCCTCTCACGAGGGCTTTGATCGCAGACCTCACAATTGCGTTTCAAAGCCTTCACCGCCCTTGTTTGTGTCCCTCTGCTGCCGGCTGGAGGCTGAGGTTTCAGCGTTCCTAGGCCTGGCCTTTGAAGCTTGCTCTTATTAATCTTTTAACATCCCCCCCCACCCCACCCACCCCGCCCACCCCTCCAGCCTGTGGCACTCACAGGAGCCTGAAGCCGCATGGAAAGAATGCCCTCAGCCTGCAGCTGCAGCCCCTTCCCAGGTCCTGCCAGGCTCCTGGCTGCCCTGAGTCTTTGGCCACGTCAGCCCCAGCCGCGCCCCCCATCCCCCTCCCCCAAGGCACAGAGACTGAAAAAGAGGAAAACATTCTGGTGTGTGATATTAGGGCCTCTTGGGCCCCTACAACTCTGGGCTGTGCTGTCACATACCCTGTTAAGGAGGGCTCAGAGCCTCATGTCCAAGGGTGTCAACGGAAGCAACCCTATCCATTTCTCACTCCCATGCCACACCTGTGCCCAAGAAAGCAGGGCCAGTCCCTGGTTAGAAACCCCATATCCTCCACCCTCTTTGGTAGATGTGGGTTAGAGGCTTTGATCCCAGGCATTCAGTTGCTTTTTTTTTTTTTTTTTTTTTTTGGTTTTTCAAGACAGGGTTTCTCTGTGGTTTTGGAGCCTGTCCTGGAACTAGCTCTTGTAGACCAGGCTGGTCTCGAACTCACAGAGATCCTCCTGCCTCTGCCTCCCGAGTGCTGGGATTAAAGGCGTGCACCACCACCGCCCGGCTTCAGTTGCATTTTCAAAGCACTAGCTATCCTTGTTTGGGAGGAATAGGAGGAGCTTGTGCTGGTCCTGGCTCCAGCTTCCTGCTTAGTCCAATGGTGACAACCCTGCCTGAGCCAGTGTCACTCACAAGGAAGCATCTCTCAGCTCATGGCGTCTCTAAAGCAGCTTGATTTTGGGAGCCAGCCTGCACCTGTTCCCTAGGGCACTCCTGTCTCCCAGTGCCTCTGGGTACATTCCTAACTATAGAGATGCTGGGTACATTCCTAACTATAGAGATGCTCCAATCCATAGCCCCCCACTCTTATTTGGGGGGGCATAAGTGGGGTGAGTTGTATGTCTTTCCCACTTCGGTGTCAGGCTGGTGGAGCAGACTTGCACTCAGCAGCTCTTGTCTCCTCTGACCACCTTACCAAGGTGTACCCAAGTCATAAGCTGTGCACCGTGGGCTTCCAGAGTCATAGGAGATCTGGTACTGCAGCTGGGCAGTGGAACATGGAGGAACCAGTCACACTAGTGAAAAGTGGTCCACGAGAGTAGAGTGCTAGAGGAAGGGATGGGATTGTCTTTGGGAGACCCCAGCCTGCTGAACACTGCTGGTCTGGCCCTCTGAGCCCTCCCTGCTCCCTGCCTTCCTTAGGCAAACCTCTTCCCTGCTGCCCTTGTGCACTTTGGAGCTGAAGAAACAACAGGTGAGTGAGGCTTCACCTCTGACCCCTGCCAACAGGGCTCACCCAGAATCCCAGCTTCCCTGATGTCCAGATCAAGATTCCTTAGAAAGCATTCACACTGAGGGCCTTGTGGGCTTGGGCATCTGCAGCCCAGTCCCCACCTCCCTGGGGCACTGGGTGGAGGTGCAGGTCTCACCTTGACTGAGGGTGGCTCTGGCCTTGAAGGTCTCTACCTGGAGCCTGGACTGCTGGAACACACCGTCTCCCCGTCTGCGGCTGACATGCTGGTGGCCAGGTAAGCTCCTAAGGGGTTGGGAGCCCCGCCGAGGCTGTGCCCACCACCTATCCTTGGCCTCTCACCCGTAGGTGTATGGCCCGGGCCACCGGGTCCCCACCTCTGCTGCCAGCCCCTGACCCTGTGTCCCTGGAGTCCGAACCAATCACTGAGGAGGGGGCATTGGGGCCCCCAGAGCCCATTCAAGGGGCAGCCCAGCCTGTGAGGAGAAGCCTAGGCAAAGTGCCCAAGTGGCTGAAGCTGCCAGGTGCCTGCCTGTCCCGTACTGACTGGGTAGGAGGGTGGCTGGGCAGCAGCCCGGGAGCGGGTACTCACTCTGGTGCTTGTATCACAGCCGGCAAGAGGTGAGAGCTACCAGCCCAGAGAGGTCCTTCATCAGCCACAGGATCCCACCCCACCCACCCCGAGCAGGAATAAAGACTCGCGCTTCTCTCAAGGCCCTCCGATTTTCTTTTCTGCAGAAAGGGCCCTCAGGCCTCCATCCAGCTCAGTCTTATTCTCTGCTACCCAAAGGACCCCTGGGAATCTGGCTGGACCACAGGGTGTTTCTATTTTAAAAAGCAGAGGTATCTCTGAAGGGCTTGAGAAGGCCAGAACCCTGGGTAGGCCAGCTTCCTCTTCATTTATATCTGACCTCATTAGCTCCTTTACTGAATGGACCGAAGCGTAGGAGGAAGCCTACTTGGCAAATTATCTACAACCTGGGGCCATTCCAAGCTTCTGGCATACAGCCATAGAGGAAGCAGGCACTTAACCACAAAGCTACCTTTGGCTGTGCCTGGCCTGAGGTATTCTGGTAGCCCTGTCTGTATGCCTTCAGTGGGACTGCAAGTCCAGTTCCAGCACGTAAGCTGGTAGGAGCTCTGTGTCCACCAGCCTGCCAGAAACCTACTGAGGACATGGGCACTTAGAGCAGCTCCATCCACCCAGCTAAATCCAGTCTGACCATGGCTTTCAGAGGTTGCCCTGAAGTCTGTCTAGGCCCTTCAAGAATAGTCATTGTCCCTTGGTATTATATGCCTTTCCTACTTGTCCTCCTGCCCCCACCTCTCACTGATACCACGGTTCTACCACTGGCACTGACCTCTGGGCCTCCTAACTCCTGGGTGCTCCACGGTGTCCCCACACTGGACTCACTGGGGCGCTATGTGTCGAGGTTAGCAAGACGCCCTGCATGTTTCCTGGAACTGGCCTGACAGGGCCGGATCAGAAGGCTCAAACCTGGATTGGGCTTCCAAGTCAGCCTCTTAGCTGCACCTCTCTGAGGGTGCGGCCTATCCCTTACCTAGACCCAGACTGCAGTTGGGCGGGGCTCAAGGTTAGCCTTTCTGCAGCCCAGCATGGCCACAGCAGGCCCAGGCAGCAGATCTGGTCCACTCATCCTGTATATCCTGGTTCTGCTGCCCTGGTGAACCGGTGAACCGTTACTGGTTCACAGAGACATTCTTTGACTGCACTGCCTACTAGTGGCAGCTGCTGTGGTTTTACGGCAGCGTGTGCACACATGCTGTTTGTCTTCCTGTCCTTTCTGAGCGTTCTGCATTTGTCCCACTGAGACAGATGGAAGGGAGCGTGGGGCTCGGGCTTTGAAGCAACTAGACTGTGTGATTAATGGCAACAAGAAGGCCAAGCCTCTGAGAGATGGTGTTGATTTATTGACGTTGCTTTGTAAGAACAAATTTACAGCTCAGGGAGGCATCCTGGTCCGGTTAAAAGCCACACAGCAGCTCTGATGGAGGGGGGGCAAGAAGGCAGCACCGCCAGCCTCTGTTTATAATGAGTGGGGGTGGTGGAGGTGGGTGGCTGTGGGAAGGCTGCCCACCAACCCTGCACCTGTCTCACACAGACCCCCAGAGGTGATAGCTAGGGAGGGTAACAGCTCCTGGTGTCCTCCCGTTCTCTGGAACTTGGGGAACTGGATGTCGATGCTGAAGGGACTTCGTCCTAGACTCTGCAGGCCACAGGCCAACGTCTAGAAGTCCAGGAGCAGCTGAGGGAGCACCTTCTCCAGCTGATCCACATCCACGATGTCTAGGTCCTCTGCCTGGGCCTGCTGCACCCCACGGACAGCGGCTTCTGGAGAGACACTGAGGTGAGCTGGGGGAAGCCCTTGCCAGGCCTCAGAGGAGGCCTAGGTGGCTCCTTAGTAAGTGTGAGGGACAGGACTGAGGGTTGGCCATAGCTGAGAAAAAAAAAAAAACCCTTAGCTTGTCTACTGAAGAATAAAACAAGGAGTCTCCATTTTCTGATGCTGTGGGGCCCTTGGCTCACCTACCACGAAGATCTTCAAGAACTCCGCCATGAGCTGCAGCGCGTCCCCATTGACTGGAGGGAAAGGGCAGGTTGTGGGGCAGACAGCCTTCCTCTCCTCCCTGTGCCCCACAATTCTTCCCCACCCCACTGGCGCCCCAAACCTTTCGTCTTGCAATCCCTGAAGTGCAGGTGCAGTACTCTGCTCACCAGCTCCTGGAAGAAGGGCGGGGAGTCAGTGCCATTCCCAACAGGTCCCCCAAGTACCAGCTCTGGGTGGAGCATGGTTGTAACTTGCAGCTAGAACACTGCCATCCTTCGGCCTCTTCCCAGGTTGAGGAGATGAGGCCGGCTGTGCTTTGAGGGGAGGCTGTCATAGGGGCTGTCAAGAAGAGCTTGAGACACTTGCCTATAGGGACAGGAGCACAAGAGATGGGGGAAAGTCTGGTGACATCATTGCCATTCCTCGGAGCTGAGGGACAAAGCTGCACCTTCACTGCTGGGAGGGAATCCTCCATCGGGCCCGGGGGTGGAGGCTCATGCTCCTAAAGCGGGCCCTGGCAGCGCTGAGGAATGCTGATGACCCTTTAGCAGTCTATCAACACGACCTAGCTTGGATTACTCCTGCACAGACACACACACACACACCATGCTTAGCACATCAGAACCAGGTTGTGGCTAGAGGGGTGGATGACTGGACAGATATCCGAGAACACCTAAGCTTAAGAAAGTTGGCAAGAAGTTGGAAGTCATTTCTAGTTGTAAATGAAGACACTTACAGACTAGGCCTATGATGGGGGAAGCTTTGTTAACCAATCATCTTTAAGAGGTGGAACCTAGTTAGGCATGGCTTCCTAGAGGCCAAGAGAAAAACTGGGGCACCGACCCAGTGCGCTCTCTCTGGTTCCCCGGTGACACAGCTGAACGTGTACTTCCCGTTCCTATTGCGTGAGTTTTCCCCTTAGAATAAATAAAAAAATAAATAAAGTATAATTGTTTTATCCTTTGACTAGCCTGGTTATTTCCCGTATCAAGCTAATTTCTACAGGTCTGGAGAGACCTAGGTGTAATGGTGCAATATGAGTATTAGCGGTGGTGGCCGAAGGTAGGTGGCAATGTGTGCGATGAGGGTGAGAATCCAGAAGCTTAAGAATTCAGTGGGAGCGGGGCGGTGGTGGCACACGCCTTTAATCTCAGCACTTGGGAGGCAGAGGCAGGCGGATCTCTGTGAGTTCAAGACCAGCCTGGTCTACAGAGCTAGTTCCAGGACAGGCTCCAAAGCCACAGAGAAACCCTGTCTCGAAATTCAGTAGGGACACCCAAAGTGAGACATGAAGAGCCCCTGAGAATCTGCAGTTTGTGAAGCCATCAGACCGCTCAAGTTTACCTAGTGAAGAGCAGAATGGGAAAAGGCTGGCAGCGGAAGACGCCTACCCAGGACCCTAGAAGTGGGTGACCTACAGAGCAAGGTGAATTTGGATTCACGAACATCAGTCCCATGGAGGCCACGATACCCATTTGCTGCCGAGGGGCACACACAGGTGGGAATGGACATAGTGAGTCTGAGGCACAGGTGAACTGGTCAGGAGGGACGTGAGAGCGGCGCCACCTGCTGGTCCCCTGCACGCTACCGGAGAGGTACAAGAGAAGGCTCCACGGAATGTCAGCACAGGACAGGACAGTCAATGAACAACGGGTGGATTAGGGGAAATCCCGTGGCACACAAGCTCGTTAGTGGTCCAGAAGGCCAGTCAGGGATACAGGTCCCTCCCTCCCTGTCATTCTCTCTTCGGACAGCCCACTTAGCGTAGTCCAATGAATGCCCACAACTCCGATTCTGGCCAAAGCCTCCGAAACTCTGCAAGTACTGAAAAGCCAGGAAGTCAGCACAGGGCGCGCACCAGCCTGAACAAAGCCCACCCCTGACCGCAGCACTCATGGGACGGAACACCTCGCTTCAGTTTCCCCCGGCGGATGGGTGATTCCTTGCACACCTGCTTGTCACTGAGAAATGACGCCGACCCACGCACCCGCATCGGCCGTGCTGAAAGGGCTCTGTGGTCCCTCCCGGGAAGACCCCTTGTCACCAGCCTGGATCTACGGACCAGCTCGGTCCAGCCGCAGAGCACGCCCCGGGGTGCCCGACCCCCACCAAGGACAAGGGGACACGGCGCTAAGGCTGACTTCGAGTCTGCACAGTGTCACGCGGCTATCCGCAACGCCCAAAGCTAACCTCGCACTCCCGCGGGCCTCACCTTCGGGAAGCCGCTCGTTTCCTCCATGGCCACAGTCTCAGGCGCGCTCTCCGGAACCCGCCCACATCCCAACCAATGAACGTGGAGCGCGTCCGTGAAGTCCCGCCTCCAAGCTCAGAAACCAATCACCTAAGGGTCCCCCCCCCCTTCTCCGCACCTTCCCTGAGTTCCCAGCCAATGAGTCGGAGCGTCCTGCTTCGGCTCCCGTGGCTGGAGACCCAGAGCAGGTCCGCCCTGCGCTCTCATTGGTCTACCGAGAGCGCCTCTTCCGCGATGTCTCATGGGAGTTGTAGTTCCCATCTCCTTCCCGGAGCCCCACGCTCTTCCTGGATACTGAGGCGCGCGGGACCGCGTCCAGACCACAGCATCAGCAACCCGAGGCCACGTCGCGAGGGCGGGCTAGGGGCCGCAGGGCCAGATCAGGGTACGTGCAACGCGCCTACCTGCTCTTCTAGGCCAGTGTGCTCTGCGCTCCGGCTCTTCCTATCACCGAACCCCTTCCTCGAGCGGTTCTGACCTCCTCTCTATTCCACATTTCTAGGCCTCCCCTTATAGGGCCAGCTCAGCTCAACGCCCCTGTGTACACCCTCCTAGGGAAAGGGGCTCCCAGTCATCAGCCTAGCAAGCTTACGCGCAGCCTGTGTTTAGGGGCATGCTTGCAAGGCCCTGCCAGCGTTCGGGAACATGGAGGAGTTCCGGCGCTCCTACAGCCGCCTGTGCGAGGAGAGTGGGGCTGAGCCCCAGGAGGCTGTCCTGCAGCAACTGCACCAGCTTCCGCGGGGCCGACTGGACCTGGCTACTCAGAGCCTGACGGTGGACACCTGCAGGGCCCTGGGCAAGCTGCTGCATGACGAGTCGCTGTTGAAGGAACTTGTCCTCAGCGACTGCATGCTGAGCGAGGAAGGTGAGGCCGGTGGCCTCGGAGCAGCACCCGAAACTTCCGAGTGGGGTTCAAGCCCTTCGCCTCCAGGCTGGTCTAAGGGCCGATGTCCGGTTGTGTTTGACCTGGGTAGCTGTTAGCTGGGAAGCCAGTGCTTTCCCTGTCCCCTCCCCTTCCTCCCTCCACGCCCCTTTGTTTTCTCCTTTCTTTGTGTACTTTAGCGCTTTTTTCTAAAACCTTGGAGCAGAGGTCAATGTCACTGTGATATCACTTCACTTAACGTCTCCAGCTTTCACAGTTCCCCGTCCTGGCTCAAGAAAGGTCTCGTTTGGCAAGCTAAATGTTTCTAACATGGCCTTACAACAAATGGGGAAACCCATTCCTACTGTGAACTCAAAGCCTGGGTACCACCAGGACAGATGTCCCTCTTCTGTTTCATTCCTACTGTGAACTCAAAACCTGGGTACCACCAGGACAGGTGAACCTCTTCTGTTTCTGGGTAGCAGCCCTCTCTTCCAACTGCCTTTACGCAGGGTCCACACTGCTGTTCCAAGGGCTGTGTGCCAACACCACTGTGCAGCGTCTGGACCTAAAGGTGAGCAGGCCTGCACCCTGGGCAGTGGAAAGAGACAGACCCAGGGGCCTGGGGTCTTGACAGCCGCTAGAGACTGTCTGTAAGAGCTCCCAATAAAGCCGGGCGGTGGTGGTGCACACCTTTAATCCTAGCACTCGGGAGGCAGAGGCAGGCGGATCTCTGTGAGTTCGAGACCAGCCTGGTCTACAAGAGCTAGTTCCAGGACAGGCTCCAAAACCACAGAGAAACCCTATCTTAAAAAACCAAAAAAAAAAAAAAAGAAAAGAAAAGAAAAAAAAAAAGAGCTCCCAATACCCAAGGTCTTAGGACCGCTCTCTGAGGACCCCGTGTGTTGGGCGTGTTTTAAAGGCAGAGTGTTGTTTTGAGCATGATCTACAACAGAGTTCACGCAAACTCCAAGGCACTGGGCGCTATGATGCCGCTACTGTCAGGGAAACGAGGATCTGGCAGCCCTGCCTTTGCCCAGAGCTGCCTCCTAGCTTTGTGCTCTGCCTGAGTCTGTGGGGGCACAGATGTGCCATTCAGAGCCAGGGTAGCGAGAATGACTGGCTAGGGTGTTCCTTTTCCAGGGCAACAACCTCCGAGCTGCGGGAGCCGGGGCTCTGGGAAAGCTTCTCCGACAGAACAAGTCCATTCAGAGGTAGGACCACATCCAGGCCTCGCCTGTACGTCACCGCTTCCTCTCTGCGTGGCTCAGGGTTGGCCCCAGAGGATACAGTCCTGCAACCAGCTCACTTGGTCTTCACCCATGGGTGGATAGTAAGCCGGCTAACTCTCACCTGCTACATGCCCTGGACCTCGTGGGACAAATGTTCAGTTGAGCCGAGAACCTGTGTCCATCTTTCCCGTAGTCTCACCCTAGAGTGGAACAACCTTGGCATGTGGGACGATGCCTTTGCCACCTTCTGTGGGGGCCTAGCAGCCAACAGCACCCTGCGGCAGCTGGACCTCCGGAACAACCAGATCAGTCACAAGGGGGCAGAGGAACTGGCCTTGGCCCTGAAGGGAAACACCACTCTCCAGCAGCTGGGTGAGGTCTCCTGAATTCTGCTGTACCCCCGTGAGACGCTGGGTTGTTTTAAGTCGTACCCTTTCCCTCTGTTCCTGGCTGTGTTGGCAGCCACAGGCAGTAAAGCACAAAGGGAGCATCCTGGGCTGGGCCAGGACCTCCCATCCAACCGAGTGACAACAGGTTTCCTTCCAGACCTGCGCTGGAATAACATCGGTCTCCTGGGGGGCCGGGCCCTGGTGAACTGTCTCCCCAGCAACAGAACCCTGTGGAGGCTGGACCTGGCTGGGAACAACATCCCCGGCGACGTCCTGAGAGCTGTGGGTACGGACGCTCAGGGCTGCTAGCTTCTTACAAGCTGGAGCAAGGCATGGAGCCCCAAACAGAAGCCCATCCACCACAGAAGGGTGTGGCTCAGGGATCATGACATGGAGGCCCAGGGTATGAGTAGCTGGCCTAGGTCAAGGGGAAGGCAGCTGAAGACAGACAGCTTGCTTGGTGCTTACAGCAGGCTTCTCTCGTCTGCTCACACATCTTAGCACCTATGTGGTGAGGGGGTGCCGGTTTCACAAGCAAGAAGCTAAAGCCCTGTGGCTTAAAGCCTTGCTCTGACAGCCATCAGGTGGCCTGAGCCCCACCTAGGGAGGCTTCCTTGTAGCTTACCCCAGCTTCTCCTGAGTTTGTGTCTGTGCTGTATGTAGACTGGACGTGAGTGGGGACGCCTAGGAACCCCGAGTCCTTACAGGTGATATCTTGGCCTCAGGCTCTGCAGTTTACCACGTGGTAGTGCCCACCAACGTCTGAGCTTTCAGGACTGGAGTTGTGGGTCCCAGACTTTGCTGTATTCCCTGCTGCCCGTGCCTGACCCTTCTGTCTTCTCCAACGTCTTCTTATTCCCAGCCCTGTATCTGTGTGGCCATAGTCCTTATAATTGTTTTATGTTTGATCTTCTTGTGTATGTCAAAGACAGTCTTGCTATGTAGCCCAGGCTGGCTTTGACCTCATAATCCCCCTGCCTCAGGTGCCTAAGTTTAGGGATCACTGGCATACAGTACCGAATCGGGCTTATAATACTGTCAGTCTTGCGAGAAGATAGTACCTGTCCCTTCAAGTCATACACCCCTTGACCTCCGATGGGGCAGCCAGATGCTCTAGGCAGTGCCCACCTTCCCCATTTGTACAAAAGACCTCCTGTCCCAAGGTCCTGCATCACCCAGTCCTGTCCTCAGCTGAAACGCATAACCCAGGTGCCCTGGATGGGGCTGTCTGGTTGGTTGTGGAGATGTTGTCTTCTCTAGGGTGACACAAGCAGCATAGGACTGAGTTGGTCATCGCCCCTAATGTCGAACCCAGTGGATAACGTGGCTCTTTCTGACAGAGCAAGCCATGGACCACAACCAGGACCGGCTCACTGCCTTTCGGGAAAACAAAGCCCGCACCAACATCCTTAGCAAGGAGGTTCAACACCTCCAGGAAGAGAAGTCCAAGCAGGTGAGCAGAGGGCCCTCACTAGCCCTGGGCTCTGCCCAGCCTGGCGGCACACTCTTGCCCTCTCCTTTGCTCCAGGCCTCTGAGCCAAGGCAACCCGGGGCTAAGGTGGCCTCCTGGCCCCCCTTCCTGTGTGCCGACCACAGAGCAGCGAGCAGGCAGGGAGTTCTAGCCTCCAGGCCTCCCTCGGTCAGTCAGCCCACCCTTGTTTTGAGTGAGACAGTGAACTGAGTCCTTTGCAGCCTGACTCTGTGGATGGGAGCCTGCACTTCTGTCCCTGACCGGCGTAGGTTTTGCTTCTAATGCTGTCTTGACCGACTCTGCCTCCAGTTTCTGGATCTGATGGAGACAATCGATAAGCAACGGGAAGAGATGGCCAGGAACAGCAGGTGAGTGAGCTGGGGGTACCTGCGACTCAGTGCCTGCCTTCTGACTGGAGCAGGACCTCACCTGAGCCCTGCCTGTTAAGGCTGAAAACAAGGTCATTGCTCCCATCCAAGCAAGGGGGATGGCAGTTAGTGGCAGCTGTGGGGTGCTTGGCTCCGGCCTGGTGCACTCGGGGATGCTACAGACATAACTGTGCGGAGATCAAGAGCTGCTGCCAAGGCTGGGAAAAAAGCCAGGGTGTCTCGCAAAACCACAAAAAAAAAAAAAAAAAGAAAAAAAAAGCCGGGGGCTCTGGGGTTTGGCTTTCCCAGCGTCACCACTCTGCCCTCAGGGCATCGGCAGCACGAATTGGGCAGCTTCAGGAAGCCCTCAACGAGAGACAATCCATCATCAATGCCCTCAAAGCCAAGTAAGGAGAGGAGCCCTCAGACACCTTCAAGACTTATCACCGTGCCAAGAAGGGAGAGGAGGGGACGAATGCTTCCTGGGGTTTGAGTGGGAACAGAAGACCTCTGTCAAGCAGGTAACATTCGTGACTGAGCTGCACTGGGGCCCGTCTTCCTCTTTGTAGGCTGCAGATGACAGAGGCTGCGCTGGCTCTGTCAGAGCAGAAGGCCCAGGACCTGGGGGAACTGCTGACCACAGCGGAACAGGAACGACAGAGCCTGTCGCAGAGACAGGAGAAGGAGCGGA